TTTTAAAACATTATCTTTAATTTATCAGATCTAACCCAATAAATTAAAGTTTTATTATTTTAACTTTAATAAAATGGATAGTGTTTAAGTGCTAAACATAAAGTATTCATTTAAAATTATTAAAAAGGTTACGAAAGGCAAGTCAGCGGTAATAGACAAATAATAATAGTCAAAAGAACTGTTAGATAATCATTTACCTTACAACAATATTATGTATATGCCTTTAGTACCAAGTAGATAATCCACCTATATTTGTAATACCCCGTCCAATAAAATCAAATCCTTTGAATATCAAATAAATCAAAGGTTTAACCGGATATTGGTATAAATCAGTCTACTAATCCCAGTGGTGTATTGGACCAACTGGTGTCCGCTAGAACTAACGATAGAGGCTACTTCTAGTTTAAGCAACTAACTTCAAAATATAATAAACAAATAAAAAATTAAATGTGCTTTTTGACAACATTGGACGTTGTTATTTGCTTAAAAATTTAAAACGCATTTTAGCAGATCGTAGAACCTACTCTTTAAACCTAAAGACGTAATTGCTAATATTAATCGTGAAAATAAAATTATTAAATAATTAATATATTATGAATCTATAAATTATTTTATAAATTCAAATTCATGTATTACATGTAAAACAATTTTATTCTAACGGTAACTCCACTAATTTTCGTGGTCCGCTTGACTAATTAATATATTTCAATTAATTAAGGTTTTTAGTTGAGATTAAAAAGCGAGTGTGACGAGCGGGATTCGAACCCACGGCCTTCGGCTAGATAAGCCGCTACTCTACCACTTGAGCTATCGTGACTTCGATCCACTCGGACACCATCTTCCCATCTCAACCCCACCTTTTTTGAATTTTCTCTCCTTTTTGCAATATTTCAAATGTCGTTTAATCTATTTGATTCTCGGCGACAAATGAAATGGCCACGGAGAGCTTTTAGTGAAGTATACTTCATTTTAACTTAGTAAATTCACTAATTTTCGTGGTCCGCTTGGCCAATGACTATCTTTCAATTAATTAAGGTTTTTAGTTGACTGTTGTAATTAAGTAATTACGAACCACGAAGTTAGTGTCCGAGTGGATCGAAGTCACGATAGCTCAAGTGGTAGAGTAGCGGCGTATCTAGTCGAAGGTCGTGAGTTCGAATCCTTCTCGTGACACCGACTTTTTTATCTCAACTAAAAACTTAAAAGATAATTTCGTACGAGATAACCTTCTACATTTATATTATTATTTCCTTCATAAGAATTATTTAAATCAATAAATTGATGTGAGAGTGATTGACCCTATGTTAAAAAATAAACAAATCTTGTTTTCTTATTAGTAATAAATCATTTAATAATCTTTTCTTTTTTTTAATTATGGAGTGAGACCAACGTGAACTGGTCATTATTTTTGTAATATGATATAGCATATCATCACGATCAAGGTTACAAATCTAATTAATACAATAGATTTATGATTTGGTTAAAATTGGATAAGCTTTCTTTTTTTAAAGCGCAGGAAAGAACTTTCGCCGAAATCTATCCAATTACACGTTGAATTATGCATGGATGTCTTGTTTTATCCTACTGGTATTTTTTGTGTGTAATAGCACACGTCGAGAAAAAGGATTCTTTCCAAGAAAAGGAAAATAAGATTAGAAAGGGAAATTTAAAGCTTTGTTCGTACGTAATCCGCGGTGTATCATCTGAGATAGCGGAGGTGTCCTCGTAACATGGCAACACTTTGTTACCCATTTGGAAGAAAATGGAATTTACAACAGTCTAGATTATTTGGAACATCATCAGAAATTTAAAGGAATGAGGAATTCTAGCGACCAGAGTTGAAATGCCGATTTTGTAAAACAATACAATTATGTAAATTTTTTTGGGTTTAACATAAAGAACCATATAAGCAATAGATAGAAAAGTTGGCCAAATATTAGTGGCAGATAAAATAGGAAAATTAATCAATAGATAGAAATACACAGATAGAAAAAAAGAAAGAGAAAGAGAACGTACGAACGAATTTATAGTCACAGAATCTCGTCTAATTTTACCACTCTTCCAAGTCTACACGAGAGAGTGGGAAATAGATGAACAGATGTCGATAGGCAGAAAGACGAAGAAAAACTGTTATACATTAAGAAGGAAAAAAAACCTTATGTCCTGGGAACAAGTTCCCCTAACAACATTTGTTCATGTTTATGTTATGGCATAATAGAAGAATATAGCAATAATGCAATAATAATAATAATAATAAGAGTAATACTGTAATTATAAAAATTGATTCCCACAACATCAATGTACTTATTTATATTAATTTTTAAGTGTACAAATATATTCATATTATAAGTTATTTGTCCAAACTAAATCTTATCCTTTCCGTTTTTTAGAAAAGAAGAAAAATAATATTAATAATAATAAGAAAAAGAGAGAAAGGGTGAGATGGGGGGTGAGAGAGAGAGAGAGAGAGAGAGAGAGAGAGAGAGAGAGAGGGAGGGAGAGAGCGAAAGTGTAAATTTTTACCAATGATGACCTACATTTTCATTTTTACGTTCATTCGAGTTTATTTCATTTTATGACGGCAAAATCTTTGATTCAGATTCACTAAAACGAAACAAAAAAATAAAAAGGTAATGAAAAAGACAGGGGAGAGAGAGTGTGAAATAGATTAAGATAGTATTAATAACCAAAAGAGAAAGAGAAGAAGTTAAAAATGAAATGAGTCGTGAGTGAGAGTAAGGAAAAATGAAAAGATAAATAATTAAAAGATTTTTCTTATTGGACAATAAGAATAATGATTGAAGAACAGTGGAAGAATATTTCTACGTCAGTACGGTAAGCTATTAATTAAACAATATTGACTTTTGAGAAAGTTCGTAATTATAAACTCAAGAATAAACATTAGTTAATATATAACAGTTGCAGGAAACACAGTAACACGTAAAACATGTTTAACTAAAGGAGTTATATTAAAGTAATTTATACCTTAATTGCTCAAGTATTGAAGAATATTGAATTTGATATCACTTTAGAATAGTAGTATTATTTATTTGTATTACTGTACGTGATAATTAAAATAAAATTTTGAAAAAATTTAGTGCGATGGCCGGGAATCGAACCCGGATCAACTGCTTGGAAGGCAACTATGCTCACCATTACACCACCATCGCAGCTCGAAGAAACTTACTTTCTATATCCCCAGGAGCAACGGGAACGTAAGAGATTCGATCAGTATATTATATAATTTGAAATTTATTTTTCTCTTATTTTTTTAAGTTTATAATTATATATACAGGGTGATTCACAATCTATGCGCGCAACTCAAGGAGATGATTCTACAGCTTATTTGCAACAAAAAATATTCTTTACATTTTTAAAAATTCTCAAAAGTTTCGGAGATATTTATAAATTAATTTCCATTGACCAAAATGCTAAATTTTTAGGTTAAAACCGTCATAACGTCTTTGCTCTTTAAGGTAAGCAAATCTGGTAACACCATTAGAAAGAGGGATAAATGTCCCATTAGGTAGTGATAAAAAAAATTTTAAAACCATTCCTTTAAGCATTTCATTTTGTGTTATCATGAAACAATTCACTTTTTGTCATTTCAGCTAGAGTTTTAGTCTGCAATGTCAACTAAGGGCTATCTCAGAAGAAACTTCTGCATGTAATAAGCTTGAAAACCATGAGCTTTTTTCTATGATACAATGATCATTAGCGGAATAATATGGTTTGTATAGGAAATTCATGCTTTCTTTTTCCTTTATTCATATTGATAATGCAATAAAAAGTAATTACTTTTAAAAATAAAATAAAGTCCCGTTTTTAGGAAAAATACAAAATTAGTGGAAAAAATTGACGAGAAGGAAAAGGTCCGCCTTAATCCCTTGATTTGATGTGGCTGTTGCGTACACAAGAGAACTTGTTTACTTAATTATTACAATCCCTTCCCTTTGCTGTTAATATTTAATGATTTACTAACTAGCACTTGTTCCATAACGTTAGTTTAGTACTACTGTGTGCATAAATTGCGTGTTTTAGTACCTGTTTAATCCTCTGTCTTGGTGCGTACGAAATAAAAACATGGATGAAATATTATTGGAGGTAAGATTTTTCGGTTCAAGGTGAAATATTATTTGCTTTTATTTATGAATGTACTGTTGATGAGAGCAAGATCAATGCTGGAAGAGGGATATCCGTGCAATCGTCGAGTAGAGGATATCATGTCATGGCCCCTCTAAAACAATGGCTCATAACTAGCCACTATTAGCCATCGCGCGGCCATTGTGCTCAGGGTAGGGTGGAGAGCAGTGGCCGATGGTTAATTGTGAGGGATCATCAAAAAGAGTCAAACGAGGTGCGTTTACACCATACCACACAATGAGACAAGATGCCATTATGTAGACGTATTGCGGAGCAGGGGAAGATCAGCAGACTATGAGGTTATGAAGGTAGTGGTGCCTTGAAGAACACCTATGTTGCTAATACATGTGTACGAAGAATAAAAGAAACTACATAAACAACACGATCGGATAAGTGGGATTCGAGAAAGTGGTAGAAGGATAGAAACAATTTGAGATAGGACAACTATGGCAATTCACTTTTTGGAAAAGATAGTTCTACCCACCGAAGTTTTAGCTGAGAAGTACTATCTTTACGAAAAAGTAAGGTAGTAGAAAGTACTTCGAATTTCATGACCAGTTGCTGAGTAGAATTCTTGACGTTGTTCCAAAAAATAAAGCTTGTATTACTTCTTCAACTGACTGGTGGAAAAGAGGGTATTGAATGCCTTAAGTGAATAGAGGAGTAGTGACAGTATACCATGTGGAACACTAGCGGTGACAAAATAAATGGCACGAAGGAATATGAAGGTTAAAGGAAAAAAAATTAACATAATTTATTTGAAACTGCATTATGAGCTCTCTTTACATTCACTAATTTCGTGGTCCGCTTGACCAATTAATATATTACAATTAATTAAGGTTTTTAGTTGAGGTAAAATCTCTCTTTATATTGACTTGATTCACAGTTGTAAAGTCTATAAGCAGAACTCTATGTGCACTAGAGAACAAGATTGAGCTAAAACGTTCATCCACCACGAATTCCCTCCACATGCCGGTCCGTGAGGCTTATCAATCTGAGTTTATGTTAATGACGATGTCATCTGATCCCACTCCTGGAATATATTTTCCCCTGGGGGAAATCACAATCGTAAAACCGGAAATTACCTGGATTTGGCAGAGGGTCTCGCTGTAGGGCCAGCAGCGGAACAGCGCCGGGAGGAATCCGAAAGGAGTTACGAGCACGCCGATGGCCAGGTCGTTACTCGCTAACGACGTAAGGAGGTAACGAGGCTGTAAAAAAAGAGAAAAATAAAATAAGATGTAGAATCAATTTACGATTTTCAAAAGCTATAGAACTTTTAATTACGTTCATTTTTAAGTTGAACCATAAACTAGTTTATAGAGCATGCTTTTTTTTAACTTCACAATTATCAATAACAGACTCTAAGTCCCCAATTTATAACTCTTTTATATTTTTAGTCACCGGTCTTTTCGATGTAATTATTCACTGGGTCAATTATACTTACAATAAAGAATTTAGGAATAAATTTAAAATTAAATAAACCGTCTTATTTATTGTTTTATTAAATAATAAAGATTACAACATACGTAGTTAAGACCCATTTCACTTGACTAAACATTTTAAAACATTAACAGTGATTTATTTTTCGTTTCTCCTGTTCGATCCAACACAAAGTTCTAAAAATAAATAAATCCAACAGGGATCTTTCATTCATTTATCTTTATCTATTGTTTGCGAATAATGATTTAATTTCCTGTATTGGGCATTATATCCGACAGGACTGTAATGAAACAGAAGGGTTCAAAAACTGTTACGTCGAAGAAAGGACATCGGCATGATTAATCACGGAGTAAACTAAACTCAATCATACAAAAAATACATAACTTTAATCATTTTTATTTTTATTACTTTTGTATGGTATGTAACATAAATGTGGGGGTAGTAACTGAATTGAATACGCAAAACACCTTAAAAGACGTTTATTTTTTCCAAACAAGAACAAAATACTGCACGTCTTCCGACTTGAAGACATCTATTAGTCTGGGCAAGATTGGACTAAAATCATGTTTTGGGATGGGTCAAAGTTTTGTTTGAGGTCTTCTGACGGCCGAGAGGGGTTTGGAGAACTCGAGTGCGATATGCCCCTCAACATTTTCACTCCAGAGAAACTATGGAGGCCATTTAATTTTACATTAGTAGAAGTGCATAAAACACTAAGCAGTTTAGTTCATAAAACTGATCGGATTTGGACATTCACCTAAAATAATACGATAAGCTATTAATTGGCGACGGTTTTACTTTTATACAAGGCTCTACATAGCTCGTTGAGGACTTCACTGTTTCGAGTGGCCAATAATAATAATAAAGTGTATTATATTTAAAAGCAATATTATAATAAAATGAACATAAATGTACTTAATAAAAAATAAACAATACGGCATGGACTCCGTCAAGGAGTCCACTCCGACTGCCGGAAGGTGGTGAAAACATAGCAGTAATAGTAACAACGATGATAATAATAATAATAACAGAATAAAATAAAGTATATAAATAAAATAAATAAATAATTGTGTACACTGCAAACTTATATAGACCTCTGTAACTATAAATTATTGTAAATGGTTAACAAAAGTACAAATTTTCCTGAAATAAAACAAATGACTAAATAGAAACTAATGTAATGAATTAGTTAAATGCCATAAACCCAATAAAAATAGATTAAGTAGAAGAAATAAGGATAAACAAGAATAACAGTAAGAAAGAAAATAAGTATACACATAAGAATAAAAAAGAAATAAAAAATAATAATAACGTCACTAGTCTTCGTGGTCCGCTTGACCAATTAATATCATTCAATTAATTAAGGTTTTTAGTTGAGATAAAAAGTCAGTGTCACGTGTGAGATTTGAACGACCTTCGGCTAAATACGCCGCTGCTCTACCGCTTGAGCTATCGTGATTGCGATCCACTCGGACACTAACTTCCCATCTCAAACCCACCTTTTGAATCTTCCCTCTTTTTTGCCATTTTTCAAATGTAAGGTTTTGGTTGAAATGAAAAAGGAAAATGAAATTGAAAAATGACAAAAAGAATGGCAAAAATTCGAAAGGTTGTAGGTTGAGATCGGGAGTTGGTGTCCGAGTGGATCGTAGTCAGGATAGCTCAAGTGGTAGAGCAGCGGCCGAATTTAGCCGAAGGTCGTAGGTTCGAATCCCGCTTGTGATACTGACTTTTTTATCTGAACTAAAAACCTTAATTAATTGAATAATAATAATAATAATAATGTCGAATAATAGATAGAATAAAACAATGTGATCATTCAATATAATCCTTCCTATAGATCCAGGCTGCCCTGGTGTATTCCATCAATGCAGCCCAATTGGATCCAACTTTAAATTTTTTCTTGTATAGACACTGCACCCGAATATCTTCTATATTCAGAAAGAATAGGGCAAACTGCTATAAAGTGGAAAATGTCCTCCCTTTCTTTCAAGTTACAACGTCGGCATTCTTCTCTTTCATAAGCTTGGTACGGTTTGTAGTTCAGGTTAAGCTACTCGCCCTTTAACTTCGCCAACCATCTGATGGTTCGAGGATCTAAATTTTGCTTGTTTTTTCTAGTCAAACTTCCACACTTTACATTCGGATTTAGTTCCCTGTATAGTGTGTAATGTTGGGACATCATGGTTCTTGCCTTAAACTCTTCTCTTATGGATTATCTAATCGAAAGTGGCCAGTATGTAGACCCGACTTAAACCCTATAGAACACTTTTGGGACGAGTTTTCTAAAGGTAAAAAGTCGCCCAGTGATGCCAGAGAATTGACAATTAAGAATGGCGCTGTTGGAGGAGTATGAAAATATTCCATTTAGTTGTGTAATTTCTTTTTTGTACAATTAATTGTATACGGCAGAATTAGAGTATCATTTCAGAAAATGTTTTATTGATGTTTTCTGACTAGATGTGAAATTAAAGAAAGTACGATCAGTAACCATCAGCTGAAGCATTATCGTCGAGTTTATGATATATGGACTATTTTCGTCAAATAAAATTTAAACTATAAAAAAAATTATTAAAGATTTTATGTTGATAAAAACATTTAAATTTCACATTGTAATTTTGCATTTTCCAATTCACTTGCCATTATACCAAACCAATTAGTATAATTGCGTCTTAGTTTGGCATCATAATTATGTACAATCGGATCAATACCTGTTGATGAATGTATTTGGAATATCTGCGGCTGTTGACGACCAGGATGACGAGGAGATTGGCCAGGAAGATGCCAGCGGAGAGCAGTAGGATGAATGCCGCTTGGACGACGCTGCCCGCGGTCACATGATTGTGCGCCTTGGTGCATGAGCTGTTGTGTAAAAGCGGGGCCACAAGGAGGGTCCCTTTAGTATCCAAACTCCGCATAACTGGCCTTTTATGCGTAGCTGACGGCGAAAGTTTTGCACCACATGGATGTTTAGTCGGTATGATTACTCATCATCATCACTCTGAGTGATAAACCGTGTCGGCAGGACGCATTTCTACCAGGGCCCTTTACACGTAGTGCTGTTTATTCCAGAGAAGATAATACGGCATCGCACCTATTTCTGCAACATAATAAACACAACGTCAATTTTACAAGAAATTGTTAAAACAATTTTGTATAAATCATGTCAAAAGAAATGAAACTTATTTAGGTACTCATATCTCAAAACAATGAAACTGAAAAGACGATAAATATTAAAGAGAGAGTTATTCAGATATCGTGAGATGCGGTCGGGTGTGATGTAGGTTTCAGAAAAACATTTTCTTTATCGTGCCAACGTTTCGATTTTTTATTGAGATCATCTTCAAGGATGGCACAATTACACAGAAGACAAACACTAGTGAGTAGAAATACTTTGTTTGAATATAAAATATATTTTGCATTGTATAAATTCACTTTTCCACATTCTAAATGTAATTGTTAAATGTAAACATTGTTTGTAAATCCCAGGCGCTGAAGATGATCTCAATAAAAGATCGAAACGTTGGCACGATAAAGAAAATGTTTTTCTGAAACCTACATCTCACCCGACCGCATCTCACGATATCTGAATAACTATCGATTAACGGTCACTAATCTCTACACATTAAAGAGAGAATATAAACCATCGTTGTGAATAATTTTTACTTCTTCCGTTGTTGGTTGAAATGTAAATAATTCATGTTCCAGATTTACTCGTATGGACAATACACGCGGTGGCGTATGGATAAAATATAGGATTGTGTAATTTTTCCAATTGACCACTGTTGAAAAAACAGTCTGCGACATTGCATGCACGGCTATCTTATTACATTATGGACCCACTCTTGTCTGTCCGGATTACTTTAAATTACTTTGCGTCTTCAGAGGTGTACGTGAGTGAACTAAAAATTTTATCTTCATGCATTCATTCTATTCTTTTAAAATTTAACGGGTAATATTGGACGCTCAGAGACGTTTGTGTAGGCGTCGTACTTATACTCATTTTCGTTTTACTATTAAAATCTTGGAAACTGTATGTCGGTTGTACTTGGCTGATTCGGAATCCTTTACAATTTTAAATTTAAGTTTAAACCGAACGGATAACTGCCAATATTTACTTGTCAAATATCCCCCAATAATCCAAAATATGAAGCGAATTAATTAGCTTATTAAAAAAATTAAGAAAGGGTGGGAGAGCGGAAGAAATTACGAAAGAGATAAACTGTATGAGAAATAGCGAGAGTGCACTAAAAGAAAGAGAAAGACTGCAGACAAAGCCAAAGGAAAAATTGAAAAATGTTTTGATAGTTATATCAATAGAGAGATGGTTTGACAGGTAGATAAAGAAAGAGTGGAAGATTGGAGAGAAGGAGGAAACGAGAGAGTGAGAGAGAGAGAGTGTGTGTGTGTGTGACAGAGAGTGAAGTAAGATAAACAGAATGAGCGAGATAAAGAAGTGAGTGAGAAAGACAAAGAAACAATTCAAAAAGGTTTGATCGTTATATCAATATAGTGAAAGATTGATAGATACAGAAAGTAGAGGGAGGAAGAGAAAGAGAAGAAAGAGAAGAAAAAAGAGATAGAAAGAGAGAGAGAGAGAGAGAGAGTGAGAGAGAAGAGGTGAGGACAAGAGAGAACGAGATTGATTGATTATGTTTTATTTCACCGGGCAAAATTATTATGTCTCATGGATCTCTCTGCCACCTTACGAGAGATAGAGATAGAGATAGCGATAGAGAGAGAGAGTGAGAGAGAGAGAGAGAGAATGAGAAGAGGTGAGGAAGAGGAAGAAAGAGAGATAGATAGAGAATGAGAGCGCCAGAGAGAGCGCAGTAGCGAGTAAGGAAGAAATGGGGGGGGGGGGCGGTAGCCGAGAGGTTAAGGCGTCAGACTCTTGGCTAGTAGATCCCGCGGTCGGGGTTCGATCCCCACCGTCGCCTCGGGACTTTTTGTGACGCTTAAGGGGACCGGTGGCCGCAATTGAAAGAAATTGACACGGCACTCATCAATGGAAGGGGCGGGATCGGATCTCAGCTACCCTGAGTTTGGACCCAACCCCCTTCAAAAATGAGTTTCTTCGATGGAAGAACACCGGTACAACGGGGGCTCAAGTTCACATTTGTGTTGTAAGCCCTCCCCCAAAATATGGAGCCAGGGATAAAGTACAATAAGCTGTTGAACAGCTCAGCTGCAGTGCTCAGGAGGGGAGGGAACTCCTCCAGTCCCCAGAAAAAAGAAAAAAAAAGAGTGTATATGAAATGACAAAAATGAACTAGGATACAGAAATAGATTGATAAAGAAAGGGTGTAAGATGGGACAGAAAGAGAGAAAAGAGAGTGAGCGAGGACGAGTGGCGACTAGACAGTGGAACAATAAAAATAACGGTTTGATCAGAGATAGATTACTGATGGATAGATAATGAGAGTGGGTAAGGGAGAGAAAAATAGAGTAAAAACAGAAAGAGAGAAAGGGAGAGAGATAGAAAGTAAATTGTGAAGTAAACATACTATTAATATAAAACTTTTACTTTTTAAGGAAATAAATTTCTGTGAACACAAGTACAATGTTTCACTTGTCACAATGGTAGAAGATAGTTATATATGGAGTTTTGTTTTTACAACAGATCTATTCTCTTAATTAAAATAATATTTAGAAATTTTTCATGATCAAATGTTTTCTTTGGTTTAACTTTTGACATCCATCGTCTGTAGTTTGTCCGAAAAGTGTGTGTCGGCTCGGAAGGCTTGGTATTTAAATCAGAAGGGGCCGGGAAACATCCCGCTGTGCGAGGTTGAGCGACAATCACATTCGCAAAATCTCGCCGAGAGGCAATAAATTTACAGACAACAACTGTTTTGATAGTCGGAACACGTCCTGGAAACGTTTCACGAGGGCCGCAAGGAAAGGAAGAGGATGGGAAAAATGAGCTTTTGATTACCGCCTCGTCACAAAAGCTCGTTCCACTCAACTTTAAATTAATTCGCAGTTTAGACTGCTACCACTTTCTTGTAATTTATTTCGACGGAGATAATACACATTTAATTAGCTTCGGCTTGGATTTCAGGAAATCAATGGCAACGGTTAGTAATTTTTCTGCCTTAATAGGAATGGGAACGTTCCATGATTGATTTCTTTAATGGTGTATGAGCTTTTTACCTTCAGGAGATTAAATCTAGAACATATATGCATTTAGTAGTCATAATTGATCTCTTAATTAGTTCAATTAATTATACTTTTAATCTAATGTCTTGGTTGAGATGAAAAAGCAAGTGCCACGAGCAGGATTCAAACCTATGACCTTCGACTTGTAACACTTACTTTTTCATCTCAACCGAGATGAAAAAAGTTTTTTGTGCGAAAAACGGAAAAAAGTGTACTGTTTTTTTTAGATTTTCGGGCTGCATTTGATTCGCCAGATAGAAATTTTTTATTTTATAAACTGCATATGATAGGGTTATCGAATAAATTTATAAATGTTTTAAAGAGTCTGTACGAGGAAACTGAATCTGCTGTGTGGATGAAGGAGGGAGTTTCAAATACCTTTAAGACAAACATAGGGCTAAAGCAAGGTTGTTTGCTATCTCCACTTTTATTTTCGTTATATATCAATGATCTATGTGATTTTGTAGGCGGTGGATTGCATATTGATGGGTTGAATGTTCGTTGTTTGCTCTATGCAGACGACATTGTATTATTAGCAACGGAGCCCAGTACACTGCAGAAAATGATAAATAAGCTTTACGAGTATTGTCAGTTATGGAATTTGTTTGTTAACTTAAACAAGTCAAAAATAATGGTCTTCTGCAGAGGGGGTAGGCTTGGGAGAAAATAGGTTTGGAACTAGGCTGGACAAAATATTGAGATTGTGAACCATTATAAATATCTGGGTATATATCTCACACCGCAGCTTGTTATGGGAAGACATCTTAAAGAAAAATTAAATGTAGCCAAATTTGGTATTAATTCTACTTGGAAATCTCTCTTGTCGAATAGTGATGTTCCCATTTCAGCAAAATATAATGTATTTAACTCTGTTTCCAAGGCGGTAATGTTATACGGTGCTCAGGTTTGGGGCTATAAATGGTATGACAGTGTGGAGAAATTGAACAAATATTTGGGCAAAAGGTTGTTTTTCCTAACAAAGGATACACCTGATTATGTCTTATATTTAGAGACAGGGATTGACCCATTGTTTTTCAACACATTAAGCCTGCATCTGACGTACATCCAAAAAGTTTTATCATTGGCTTCTGCTAGACTTCCTCGAATTTTGGCCTTGAAAATACTAGACAAGAAAATATTTTGGGCAAAAGAATTTGACAATTTGTGTCTACAACACGGTTTAACTCCCTTGAGTTACTCCGATATAAATAAAAATAGTGTGGAAAGCTTGGTAGATGTTTTAAGAACTGATTTTAAAAATAAACTAAAATTAAGAGGACAACAGTCTGTCTTCCATGGTTTATACAAAGAACTGAATCTGGAATTAGGAGAAAATCACCATTATTTAAATAAAAATTATAATTTGAATATGATAAGTGTGATAATGAAAGCAAGAGGTCAGTTGCTGTCTCTTAATTACTCGGTCCACAGAAATGAGGAAGCGTACCGTTGTGCTTTGTGTATGAGGATGGCTTCCATTTTTTGGCGGTGTGCTCTATATTGAAGGAATTCAGACTTAGGTGGTTTGGCAAATTGTTTTTAGAATTTCATTTTTGAATGGGCAGAACTGGCACAGTCTCTACAATTATGTTTTGTACTCCCTAAAATACAGAGCGTTCCTAATCGATAATTTCAATTATTAATAAAGTTTTGTGTAAATTATGACTGTTTGTATTAGTATTGTTAGTGTTAATATTCGTATTATTCTATGTTTTTTCTTTTGGCAACTCGACAGACCGCCTGTGGGCTATTGCCTAGGATGTTTTATGTATTGAATATTTTTTGTAAAATAATTTTTATTGTATATAAACATCTTTATCTATCTATTATCTATCTATCATCTCAACCAAGACCTTAGATTAAAAGTATAACTTGTTAGAATAGATACGATCTTTGAAACGATTATTAACTTACAATTATTTTTTCTATTTCATAAAC